GTTCACGGGCTGCAAAAACAGAGAGCTCAAACCACTGGTTGAAATCCACAGAGCAACTGCTGGAGAAAGGCAGAGTACACAGTTCAACCTCTCAGCACCCATCTTGGTTACGTGTTCTGCTAGGAACACACCTGCGTAGCAGAGGGGTGGGTTTGGAGATGGCCCTTTTCCCCCCTCCACGTGGAGACTCTCAAATATTTCCTTCTGCCTTACTCCCAAGCATACTGTTCTTCTTCTTTCCCATCCACTTTCACGTGCACTAACGTGTACATTTAATTTAAATTTTTTTAATTTGCAATTTTTTACCATGTTTCCAAGTGTCTATGTGCTCTCCTGTCCCAGAAATATAGATGGAGTGCAAAGGTGCAGGCTGGCCCCCTGCACAACAAAGCCAAGATTTCAAGTGGGTTTGAAAGTCTGGGGACCAGCATATTTTAATCTCATTACACATCCTAGCAACTGCACTCAGCAACAAAATACAGTCCTACCTTCCTAGACTCAGGTCTAGAATGGCATACCTGCTATTTGGTCTGCGAGGAGAAATCTTGAAGGCATTGGGTGGAAATGGAAACAGAAGTCATTATTAATCAGAAAGCATAACTCTAAAAAGCCATTGGAGAAGGACAAGTAATACTTTTAGGTGAGTTAAAGCAGCAGACTGTCCCCAGATGGAGGGCAAGTACCATTCATAAGCTGATTTGAGAAGGTATTGGGCATGATATAAAATGACACTGAATCCCATAGTGATCAAATTCATTTTTTTCTCTTTCAATCTTAATTAAACTGTATAAGAAAGTTTTCATTGGGTGCTGGTAGGTCATCAACACTTCTTTTATACTCATCCATCTCACCTTTCAACAAAGAGAAAGCAGGCTTTGGGACTCAGCTGCGTGGTGGGCAACATTTGCTCAAATACAATAACATTGGTTTATTTTAATGTCATTAATTTTTCAGCTATTTTTTGTCTATGACCAACAGTTTCACAGTTTTATCTGTTTCCTTAGCAATCTAGAACTTTGTTCCCATGGACCAGGCATCACATGGGAGTTTTAAATGCAGATTCCTGGGCCCATTCAGATCTCCTGAATCATAACCTGTATTTTCCCTAGATCATCCTGATGCACATAAAATTTGAGATCTTGGGGCGCCTGGGTGGCTCAGTGGGTTAAGCCGCTGCCTTCGGCTCGGGTCATGATCCAGGTTCCTGGGATCAAGTCTCGAATCGGGCTCTCTGCTCAGCAGGGAGCCTGCTTCCCCCCTCTTTCTCCATCTGCCCCTCTGCCTGCTTGTGATCTCTCTCTCTGTCAAATAAATAAAATCTTAAAAAAAAAATTGAGATCTTATCTACAGCTTCCATTTTAAACACATTTATTTACAAAGGAAACATGAATCAGTTTAAATAAAAATTGAGTCGGTATTCAGATATGCGAAAAATCATGCTGCTTGTTGAATGTTTGGGAAACACTCCAATCCAGCAATCCAGCAATAATCCCACTCCCCCCAAGATCAGCACGTACCTCTGAATACAGACCTCTCATTGTCTGGGTTGAGAAGAGGGCAGATCACCTGCAGGACTGTGGTGATGGCCTTGACCAGCAGATTTACCCCAGACCCACCTGCCTAAGCTTTGAAATTTGCCTTCAGTGAGACTTGACTTCCACTCATGCCCGCTTCTGACCCAGGGTGTGCTGGTTATCTACTCTCCAAGGACAAATGTAAGCATTGTGTTTATGTGCCAGTCAGATTCGCAATATCATATCAAGGTAACATAGGAGTTTCCGATGATGTGTTCTTTATATAATTTTAGAGATAACCTAAATTTTAGAATAAAATACATACTTTGCTTTTCCATTTGCACCTACACCTTGAGTGTGACTGACTAGCTATCTCTTGCAAAATCTGCCAACTGTTTTTATAATTCTGTCATCGACAATGTCCAAAATCAGATTACAAAATATGCTCAATTATTAATATCTGATTAAGCAAAAAGTCACTCACATCAATGATAAATGAGAATAGGTCCAATATGAATTCTGGTCGCTATTTCCATTGACCTTAATGAGTCCTTTCATCAATGACATTAGTTATTTCTTTGCAAATCAGTAATAGTTTATAAATATTGGAAAGATATTACCTCTAATTTTTTTGCTATTCATAATGTGACAGCTATAGACATGACCCATTTTAAGTTTAATCTGCACTATTAACATTTTCTGCATCCCTTTCTTAAGTCTAGACAGTCAGCGAAACAATTCAAACCCTGATTTGTAGTGTTTGCCAATTTCCATGAGGTAAGAAAAACTCACCACAGCTGATTTCAAACTCCTAACTTGATGTAAATAAGCACAGAGTTTGGAAGAGATGCACAGAAGCTCACCATTAAATGTTATGCCTACCCCACAGGTACCGTCGATATAAATAACTTCGATATAGCACAGATAATGATAAAATGTAAATAAATTAGCAAGTGATGTGTTTGGAGTATTACCATTTTAATATATATTAATTGTAAGTGGATATAATTTAATTTTTAATGATGGCTGTGTTTACCAAGCAGCTTACAGACTTCCTGAAAATTTAACCCTCGGCTCTCGTGAGCTGTCAGGCGTGGGCTCCAGCTGCCGGCTGCCGGCTGTTCCTGGCTGTTCTAACCACCTGCACCTTCCAGCTGCATCTGTCTGCCGGAACCCCGCCTGCCCACCCACACAGCCCACCTGGCCAAGTCCCAACCCCAAAGACAGGGAGAGAAATGGGGTGACCCATCACAGCAAGACTTGACAGACCACGAGGATGTTTTAGAGGGGTCCACCTTCACTTTAGGGAAGACGGCTCTACTTTGGGAGCTCTTTTTTTCTTTAAGATTTTATTCATTTATTTGATGAAGAAAGAGACAGCAAGAGAGGGAATACAAGCAGGGTAAGTGGGAGAAGGAGAAGCAGTTTTCCCACTGAGCAGGGAACCCGACGCGGGGCTCAATCCCAGGATGCTGGGATCATGACCTGACCCGAAGGCAGATGCTTAACGACTGAGCCACCCAGGTACCCCCACTTTTGGGACTCTTGATGAATTGGTGGAAATGAATTGGTGGAAGCAGTGGTTTTCAAAACTGGTTGAGAGTACAGCTCTGGCATGGGCCGCAGCATCTCACAGACCATGCGATCTTGAGAAAATAACTCAGTCTCTCTCTGCCTCGGTTTCCTCATGTAAAATAGGAATAACAATGACACTTGCTTCATAGGTCGTGAAGATTAGCTGAAATAATGGACTTAAGCAGTTGATGGAGTGCTTGGTACAGAATAAGTGCTTAGCACCTGTTATCATTAGTAGTACCCAACCTAGAGTGGTTACAAACTCATTTTTGGCTGATACTACTTGTTACATATAGAAAAGTATATGCAGTCACTATTTGCACGCTTTTAAGGTTCTACAAGTTTCCATATGTATAACCTGTTGGAAGTGTCATAGTGTCTCCTCTCATTGTCATTTGCATTCTGTGGGGAGGGACTAGGGCTCAGAGAGGCTGAATGATGGTCCATGGACACACAGCCATGGGCTGACCAGTCCGAGATGGGCCCACCGCTTCCATTCACCTATAGCTGATCCCAGACCTTTAATGGATGTTTTTGTTAAGCTCTGTCTAGCCCTCACACAGGAAGATGAGCCCTTTGACCCCAGTTTTCTTAGTCAGTTTGACTGGACTATTTTTGCATAACCCTGTAAATAAGTATTCATATGTAGTAAAAATGGTCAATCCAGAACAGGTTTTTTTCTCCCATATCACGGACTTAGAGACGTGCGTCAGCCTGTACCAAAGATGAATGAAGGTGATCTCTAGTTTTTCCCCTTTCTCCAGCAGAGAGAGAAAGAATGACCTATTTCCCCGGAAAGTATGGGAAAGAATCAGACTATGTCCTTGCTGAGGGAGAAACTGCAAAACACAGACCTTCCCCTTGTGTTCACAATTGTGGCCAGACTTGTTTTTACAAGGAAACAGGGACTATCAGATCAAGTTGGATAGTTCCTCATTTGAAGAAGGTGTGAGGCAATTGGCACTGCCTGACAGTATTGGGATGGGTTGGGAGTTCTCTGAAAGGCAATTTGTCAACACCCATCAAAATGACAGATGCATACCCTTTGACTCAGCAGTCCCACTTCGGGGATTTACCCCACAGAGATACTCCCACGTGTGGAAAATGAGGGTTGTAGGTAATTCTTTACACCATTGTTTGTAACAGGCAAAGACTGGAAACAATCTAAGTGCTCCTCAGTGCAGGGCTTCTAGATAATTCTGTACTTCCAAACAAGGCAATACTCTGGAGCCATTAAAAAGAATGTAATTGATTTATATATATTGGTAGAGAATATTTTCTAGGATATATTAAGTACCAAAGCAAGTAGAGGATGATTATATATATTTACTTATAAATGTATGAAATAATTGGGGGGTGGGGTGCCTGGGTGGCTTAGTTGGTTAAGCAACTGCCTTCAGCTCAGGTCATGATCCTGGAGTCTCGGGATCGAGTCCTGCATCGGGCTTCCTGCTCATCGGGGGAGTCTGCTTCTCCCTCTGACCACCCCCTTTTGTGCTCTCTCTCTTCAAGCAAGCAAGAAAGAAAGAATATAACGGATAGATAGATGTAGATATCGTGTGTGTGTGTGTGTGTGTGTGTGTGTGTGTGTGTATAATTTCTGGAAAGAGGTATAAGAAACTGGAAGGAAGAGAACTGGGTAATTAAGGCACAGGGACAAAAGGAGACTTTCTCCCACAAATCCTCCAAAAAAAGATTTCGAATTTTATTCTATTTGTATGCACTATATGTTCAAACTCAATAAATGCTTGTATGCAAATCAGGAAGGGTGCCCGTGGAAAAAGAGGGATTTTTCAATCGGCCAGCCGTTTGAGTTAGAGGCTGTGGAGTGGGTCCTGGGAAGGGCAGAGGGAAAGTGGGCTTCGGGCTGTCCACGCACCCCTGCTCACGTGGAGACCTGCCCCTTCCCAGCAACAGGCAGAGATGGCCCGCATGGCGCAGACCCAGGAAGAGAAGCTGGCCGCTGCCCTCAGGCTGGAGCTACACAACACTTCGTGCCAGGTCCAGAGCCTCCAGGTGGAGACAGAATCCCTGCGGGCCCTGGTGAGTGGGCTGGGAAGAGCCCTGGCATTTCTTATGTCAATTTTACTCTCAACTATTGCACTAGTCATCTGGGTTAGAGTTCACAAGAGTCTTGAGGCCCCCAAAGGGTCAGCTGATACCGAATCACAACCAGTATAGTGAAGGCTGTTAGTGCCCCACCAGAATACACAACACCAGGCCACTGCTGAGAGTGTTGGCCGCTCACATCCACAGATGTCCCACTTCTCCAGAGAATTGGCCTCAGCCAAACAGTGGACACCTGGCCTGGGCGGTTAGGCCCACCCCCTCTAGCCCTCAGCCAATGACTGGCTGACGTGGGGTTTAAAAGCCCAGACCACTGGCTTCTGAGTGGAATGGGTTTTGCCCTGTACTTTACCCTGGCAGTCTCCCTGTGGGATCAGGCTGTACCAGACTCCAACTGATACTTCCCCCTGGCTTAGCGCCTTCCTCTGTCCTATCCTGCTTTCCTTGCTCCCCTTTCCTTGAGAGCAACCCCTTAACTCTTTACATGTACCAAGATCCCTGGCTCAGGCTCTGCTTCTGGGAAAGCCAAATTAAGACTAGGAAGCTCCTCAGACTCACTGGGATTTGTGGGAAGGTCTCTTGCATTATTTATTATTAATAATAATTAAAATAATTATTAATAATACAGCAATTTACCCTCTGCTTTCCAGGGTGAACTGAAGTTCTATTAGGGTACTAAGCCTACAGCTCCTCCTTGATGGCCCCTGTGGGGGGGGCCCATGTGTACCAATTTGAACCACAAGCATTTTGTCCACACTGCAGTTCATGAGGGGGATGGTTCATGTAATTCTTATGCAGCTGAGGTGGTCTGGACTCTACCAAGGCCCAAGGAGCTCCTGTTTCTCATCAGCTTCAAGCCTTGGGGGAAGTTCCAATACTATTGCTAGTGCCCCTTTCTTCTACCACTCCCCCTAAACCCTCCTCATCTCAATCTTGCCACCCAAATCCATTCCATCACCAAACCAGCAGCCCCACCTCCCAATGCAGTCTTAGCCTACCATTAAGTTAGCTCAAGGACTTATTCTAGTTGGTTCCCTCAGAAACAACATTTTCACTACCCATGGTCAAGATCATTCCATCAACCCTGAGTTCCCCTCCTTCATGTGTCTTCCATTCCCTTGGGTCCATCATCCTCTGGATAACAAAGTCACATGATACCCAGTCAGCTCAGGAAGATGCTGTCTTGCCACAGCACAGCACATGACACACATCTCACTGCCACAGCTCTCCCTCACATTCTGTGATGGGATTGGGGTCACTGCAAGGGGATGTGAGAAAAGGATCAGAGGTGAGAAAAATCAGGAAACTATAGCCTAAAGCAATGCCATTTTAGTTGTTTTTTTAATTGTCTGAAAGACAATTGCATTATTTACTCAGAGTTATGTGAATTTATGCTCATCTGTTTTATTCCCTTGCCCTAACCCTTGATCCTAATATTAGGGGTGCTGCCTTTTCCCCAAGTCGCTTTAAACAAGTATAAGGGGGCTGCCATTTATTCCCCAGATGTCTTTGTGACTGCCAAAACTCCACTCTTCCATAACAGAAAGTGCCAGGCAAAACGCTGGTGACACACACTGAAGCCCACATCATCAGAAAAGCCTGGATGAATTGCACCTGAGGGGAGGCAGCCCATCACTCAACACACATTCCACACATATACTTGCTCCAGCTGTGTGCTGAGCCCTCCATGAGGAAGGTCCCAGGGACGCAACCATGAAGTGAATGGTTCCCATCCTCTAGAAGCTCATAACCACATTGGGTTCAGCCAAATGACCGAACACAGAAGAGGGTACTGTGCTCCCCAGAGCGGTTGCTCCTAGCAGCCTCCATTCTCAGCAAGCTCCAGCCTGCCCTCACCTCTGTCCCTCAGCAGATGCTGTCACCCTCACCATTCTGCAGGTAGGATTAAGGTCCCCAAACACGAGATCCTCTGTCTTCTGTTTCCAACCTCTGTTTCCAAAATACCTCTGAAGTTTTATCCCCTCTCTCCTCCCTTCAGTAAATTTCCCCTGTCCACTGTTGCCCCATGTGGGGCATTTCTCTATCTACTGTCCTTTCCTGCATTTTCAGTGTCCCTCCCTCCACTGGGATTGCCTGGGGGTAAAATAGAAAGATTCCTTTTCCAGACCTTCTAGCACCCCCAGTGCTTGGGCTTCATTTACAGACCAGCCCGGTTTCCACAGGAAGGGAAATGCCCAGAACCACCCTTTGGGGTGGGGGGTCTCCTACACTTGAGCCCTTGGACATGTTCTTCCCATGGCTGCATGGAGACCCCTCCCCTCAACTCTGCCCACCCCTACCTGTCTTCACACCCTTGGTACAAGTGAGGTAGAAGATATGCAAGTGCTACACACAGTGAAAAGCCTAGATCCTGACTCCCACAGGTGGGGTGACCTCTCCACTTGCCACCCACTCGCTTTCACAGCCCTGTGGTTCACATGGTTCTACCAGCTCATCCACCAACATCACATCAACTCCTTGAGGACAGAGACCATGTCTCATTTGTTTCATGTCCCCAAAGCCCTTGATGAGGGTCCAGAATGTCATTTCTTCAAAGTGATACTAATAGTAAGGAGAGCATGCTTGCATGCATTCTCTCATCGGACACTCATAGAGACACTGAGAAGTGTGGTGACTGACAACCCATTTTGCAGAAGAGCAAACTGTGATTCAGGGGTTTCCCCATGAACATGAGTAACAAGTAGGAGAGCCAAGCCCTTCTGGCTCAATTGCGCTTCTAGACCACAGCAGGCCTCTGGAATTGGGGATTGGCCCTCACCCTGGAATCTGGAATCTTGACTCCTCTACTTATTAGCGGAGTGATGCCTCTAAGATTCTGTTTTCTCACTTGCGAAGTGAGGATTTATCATATGTATCTATCGGGTTAGTGGCTTAAGGCAACAGTAAAAAATGTGTTCATTCAGTCTGCAATTTAGGTGGAGTCCAGCAGAGACAGCTGCGGCCTCTGCTGGGGCCAGCCCTTCCAAGAATGGTGGCTTCCGCTCACATATGTGGGGCCTCAGCTGTGCATCTCTTTTTCTTCCTCCATGGGGCCTCTCCAGGTGGCTAGCCGTGACTTCCTCAAATCATGGCAGTCGTGTAGTCAGACTACTGCTCTGGCATCCAGCTTCCCTCAGAGCACCAGCACAGAAGCTACCAGGTCTCTTACCACCTGGCCTGAAAAATCCCTGAATATCACCTATACAGAACTCCGTTGGTCTAAGCAGTCAAAGGCCATCCCAGATCCCACAGGAAGGGAAAGAAACTCCACCTCTTGACGAGGCAGTGGCAAGGCCACCTAGAGAAAGAACACATGGGATGGAGACAGGGATTGCATCTGCCTTTGGAAATGTGCTCTGTCACTGGACCCACCAGTATTTGCCTCATAAAGTCATGGGGATGATGACTTACGAAACAGCACAGGTCAAGCCCTTAGCACAGTGCCTGGTACAGAGTGAGCAGTCAATAACTGGTATCTATTACTGCCTACCGTTGTAAAATTATTATTATAACCACTGAAATAGTAATCCCAGGTTGGCATCAACCAATCACCTCACTCAAACCCCATCGTCCTGACTACCGGAACAAATCAGAAGAAAATTCACACCCCAACCAGGAGGGACGTAGGAGTAGTGACATGCTGGCTGTGCTTGGGACCCAGGACAGGCCGCCTCTGTCCCCTGTGAGCTAGTAGATCAGAGCTCTGGTCACTGGGCCTTCCAGTCGAGGATAGGAGCCCAGACAGCCGGAAGGAGGAGCACACCTTCCTGCAGCTTTCAGACATAGCTCAGTCCATCCAGCACACCTGTTATCCTGTGCAGGTCAGAGCAACCTGCACACACACAAGGCCCCCACAGCTCATCTAAGCCTCAGACAGGTGAGCTGGCAGCACTGGCTGTCCCCTTGGCCAGCAAGGCCCTCTTTGTATTGGCAACCAGGCACCAGTAATGGTGCTTAAAGCCTACTGAGCTCTGTGTTCTGTCAACTCAAATCAGGAATGGAGTTCAAGGCCAGAAATCACACAAGGTCACTATTTTTACTTTATGGAGGGCTTAGCAATTCAAGGAAGTCCCTTCAAATCTCCAGAAACTGGGGAATAAGTATGCTTCTGTGACCTGGGTTTGCTTGCCGGTGTTGTGCTACTGTGGGGGCTGGAGTGGGGAGATGGGCAGCAGTGGCCTGATTGCCATCGCTCGAGCCCAAGCGTCTCTGTGAGAACCAGGTGAGGATGTCAGGGACTTAGGTGGGAAGAAGCTGGACTGAGACACTAAGGATGGGATGGAAGAGACAGATGACCTCTGACAGGCATTTGCACAAACATATGTTGGGCACTGGGTCCTAAGTCATCAGAGCAAACTTCAGGCCGAATGGAGAAGTCACCTGTGAACATGGAGCAAAAACTAGACAGATGATCCAAACATGATTCCACGAAAGATCTTTCCAAACAACAGGTGTTATAGGTACAACATCAACACTAAACACTACAAGGAATTTCCTGATGAGCAAAGTGGGAAAACCCGGAGAGTTTGGAACGAGTGATTCTCAAAGCGCAGGTGGCCATTTCCACATCTTCTTTGCCATAGAGGGGTTTTCAGCTCTCACCAAAATAATAACCCTAGGCCAGATACTGATCTAGATTTATTTTCTCCTAGTCACATTTTTGCCACCTGTAAATCTATCTAGGATGGGAATCTGACTCAATATTCTTATGTCTTATGGAATTAAAATGGTTTAAATAAGGTGATATGGTAGCCCCTGCTTAACAGGAGCCATGATTCAAGATGGCATCATGACCAAAAAGCGTCCATTTCAACCACAGTAACCCAAAAGGTATGAAAAATCTCCTAGGAGGCAAGGTACAGAAAGTTGTTTTAATGAGATTTTATCTCAATTTGAAAAGGTATTTATCTGTTATGTGTTATGTAAAAATCCAGATGCTAAATTGTAGGTGTACCATGATTACAACTATTAAAAATGTTAAAGATAGATGCACACAGCTTTTTAAATGTGTTTGTTGGTCAGCCCTACAGTCTGCAGGGCTTGCTATATGAGAAAATGAGGTTTCCTGTCTAATGGGGAGACAGGTAGAGCAATAAGTGTAACCATAATACAAATATTGTCATCCTGGGCAACACACCCAGATGAGCACCTACTCTGTGCCAGCCCCTGTCTTACCATGAGAGTTACGAAACTTCCTTTCATCTCTGAAGAGCTCACTGTCTGGTAGAGGAAACATGCCCCTAAGCAGCTCAGCCCACTCTGACAAGTTTAAGGGCATGCATGTACTTGGGCAGCCATGGAAAGCCAGAGGAGGGGTCCCTAACCCAGCCTGGTGGGGGGAAAGGGCAAGAGACTATCAAGGAAGAAGGAAGCCTTCCTGGGGGAGGTGACCACCAAGCTTGGACTTGGGGATGAATAGGAATGATCCAGGTGAGAAGGAAGGGGAGATACAAATCCAGATTTGGACTTTCGACAAAGCACAGTTATTGCTGTGTAGAGAATGCAGGGGTAGCAGGAACTAGAGACCAAGAGATGAGTTGCAAGCTACTGAGCTTACCCCCGGGGAGCAGTGATAAGCATCCATCCTGGGCACTGGTGGCGGGGGGGGGGGGGGGGGGGGGGCACAGAAGTTAAAACTTTCCAGAATACATAAGAGGCAGGACTCCGTGATGACTGGATTGCGGAGGGGAGGAAGATGAGGGACATGCCTTTCCCTTGTTTCTAGTCCATGTGAACTCACCAGCGGAAGCACAGGAGAGGCAGACAGGTTCAGAAAGAAGTCAGTGGCTCCACTGTGGATACGTTGATTTGAAGTGCCCATGACTTGTATATATTTCCAGGAAGAAACTCAGAAGCAGGTTTATGCTGGGGGGAGACATCTGTCCTGGAAACATCAATGCAGGAGTCATCGGGAGGGAGACAACTAAAGTCATGTGTGGCAAAGACCAACCAACACAGGCCCAGGAAGCAGAGCTCAGAGAGAACAGGCTCAAGATGGGGCCTTGGGGAGCCCACAGTGAAGGGGCAGATAGGGGAAGAAGCATTAGCCAAAGTGTGCTACTAACACACTGAAGAAAACACTGTCGAGTGTGCAACGGCCAGAGACATTCATTCGAACTCTGGCAATCTGGCCAAGAGTGTCGGAGAAGAGGGCATTTTAGCTGAATGATGGATGTGGTTTCAGCAGTGGAGGAGGAAAGGGCCCCGCAGGGAGTGAGGAATCATGAGCAGAAAGGCCCAGAGGCAGTTCAGAGAGCAAGATTTCTTTGAAAAAAACACCTGCAAACTGTCTCTCCTGTGTGTGTCAGTTTCTCACATTTTTTCTCTCGTTATCTTTCACACTCTTTCATTCTGTCTCATCAGTACACTTCATCGTTCTCCCTCTCCTTTCCCTCTTGGCTGTCTTCCTCCCACACCCCCTCAGCAGAAGAATCTGTGAATGAGACCAAACAAGAGTTTGGCCTCCGACCTCTGGAGGCGGAGTCATCGCTTCCCTCTCCAACCCAGCCAGGCCCTCGTCCTTGGAGTTAATGGACGGCCCAGGCCCAGCGTAGCCCCTCGCGCAGCTCTGCCCAGCTCCCTCCTCAAGGGCCCTGCGTGTGGCCTCGGGTGTGGACCGCGTTCTCTCTTTGGCAGAAACGAGGCCTGGAGAACACTTTGCACGACGCCAAGCACTGGCACGACATCGAGCTCCAGAACCTGGGCGCTGTGGTGAGCCGGCTGGAGGCAGAGCTCAGGGAGATGCGCTCTGAGGCCGAACAGCAGCAGCAGGCTCGCGAGCATCTGCTGGCACACAAGGCGCAGCTGCAGAGGGACGTGGCGTCCTACCACGCCCTGCTGGACAGGGAGGAGAGCGGGTAAGCCTCTCGCCGCCCCTCATTCCTGTGACACGTATACATACCCATAGGTTTGAAATTAAAAGTTCATTAAACCCTAGCAATTAAGGTAAGGAGAAATCACCCTCAAACTCCCCAACACACACACACTCCCACAGCCTGTGTCCTTGCAGGAATTTTTTTTTTTCAAATTTTTTAAATTTAAATTCAATTAATTGACATATAATGTATTATTGGTTTCAGAGGTGGAGGTCAGTGATTCATCCGTCTTAAATAACACCCTGTGCTCATTACATCACGTGCCCTCGTTAATGTCTGTCACCCGGTTACCCCATCCCCCACCACCCTACCCTCCAGCAGCCCTCAGTTTTTTTCCTGTGATTAAGAGTCTCTTTTGGTTTGTCTTCCTCTCTGGTTTTGTCCTGTTTTACTTTTTCTTCTCTTCCCCTATGAGCCTCTGTTTTGTTTCTTAAATTCCACGTATCAGTGAGATCTGATGATAATTGTCTTTCTCTGATTGACTTATTTTGCTTAGCATAATACCATCTAGTTCCATCCACGTCATTGCAAATGGCGAGATTTCTTTTTTGATGGCTAAGTAGTATTCCATTGTGTATATATACCACATCTTCTTTATCCATTCATTTGTCAATGGACATCTAGGCTCGTTCCATAGTTTGGCCACTTTGGACATTGTTGCTATAAACATTGGGATGCAGGTGCCTCTTTGGATCAGTACATTTGTATCTTTGGGGTAAATACCCAGTAGTGCAATTGCTGGGTCGTGGGGTAGCTCTATTTTCAACTTCTTGAGGAGCCTTCATACTCTTTTCCAGAGTGGCTGCACCAACTTGCATTCCCACCAACAGTGTAGGAGGGTTCCCCTTTCTCCGCATCCTCGCCAACATCTGTCGTTTCCTAACTTGTTAATTTTAGCCGTTCTGACTGGTGTGAGGGGCTATCTCATTGTGGTTTTGATTTGTATTTCCCTGCTGCTGAGTGATGTTGTGCATTTTTTCATGTGTCTATTAGCCATTCATATATCTTCTTTGGAGAAATGTCTGTTCATGTCTTCCTTGCATGATTTTTCTTTTCTTTTTTTTTTTTAAGATTTTATTTATTTGACAGAGAGAGAGATCACAAGTAGACAGAGAGGCAGGCAGAGAGAGAGGAAGGGAAGCAGGCTCCCTGCCGAGCCGAGAGCCCAATATGGGACTTGATTCCAGAACCCTGAGATCATGACTTGAGCTGAAGGCAGAGGCTTAACCCACTGAGCCACCCAGGCGCCCCCCCCTTGCATGATTTTTCTATTTGTATATTCACATCTGCATGTATACACATACACACACGGACATAGTGCTATGTGTTTGGACATACCGAGGACATACGTACTGTTAGGACTAATTTCAGATGCAGGTAATAGACCTTCATTAATAGGGCTACAAACCAATGCTCCTGAAACTTTGATGTGCACTCAGAACATCAAAACCTGAGCATCTTTTATAATTTTTGATTAAACTATAATGAACATACAGTGTCATATTAGTTTCAAATGTGCAATGATTCAACAGCTCTAGACATGACTCAGTGCTCATTAAGATAAGTGTTCTCTTAATCCCCTTCACCTGTTTCCCCCATCCATTTCTCACCCCCACCTCCCCTCTGGTTACCATAAGTTTGCTCTCTATATTTAAGAGTCTGTTTTTTCATTTATAGATAGAATTTAAGAACAAATGAAAAAAGACAAAAAATAGATTCTTAAATACAGAGAACAACCTGGGGATTTTTTTTAATGCAGACTCTGCTTCACTAAGTCTGGGATGAGGCCAGAAATTCTTCATGTCTAACAAAACTCCAGGTGATGCCTGTGACTGCTGGCGCACAAACCACACTTTGAGTGGCCAGGGCACAAACGGTGTTTAGTTAAGAGTTCCAGAAATAGGGGCACCTGGTGGCTCAGTGGGTTAAGCCTCTGCCTTTGGCTCAGGTCATGATCTTCAGGGTCCTGGGATCGAGCCCCACATTGGGCTCTCTGCTCAGCGGGGAGCCTGCTTCCCCACCCCCATCTCTCTCTGCCTGTCTCTCTGCCTACTTGTGATCTCTCTCTCTCTCTCTCTCTCTCTCTGTCAAATAAATAAATAGAATCTTTATTTAAAAAAAAAAAGAGTTCCAGAAATAAGGTGGTCTAGGCCTCTCTCTGATTTCAGTAAGGTCCCAAGCTCTTTCATCTTTCTCTTTTACTATCCCTGATATATGGGCTTTTTGTCTTCATTTCATTACCCATGGTTGCCAAATGCCTACCACAGCTCCAGACATCCTCATTCATGGTAAGAAGAAGGAGAGGGAAGAGAGGGGCAGCAAAAAAAGCTTTTCCATGTGTGGCTCTCTTCTTTTATCAGTGAAGGAAAGACATATTGAGAAGGCTTCTAGTGGATTTTCCCTTACATCCCATTGACCATGGCTTGCTCACGTGAGCATACCTACTGCAAGGGATGCTGGGGAAGCAATTACTTAGCTTCTCCAGCCTCCATACTGGAGAGAGGCAAGGGGTAGCAATAGCACGTAAACATGTGTATATGTATGTGTATGCACACACACATAGGTATGTGTATATATGCAGTCTTCTTTTAATGGGTAAGGATTCTAGGAGCATATGCCTAAGTCTTGAGACTGCTTCCTTGCCAGCTTGTTAAAGAAATCCAAGCTTTTATTCTATCATAATTCTGTATCTTCATATTTCCCTCCAAAGTCCTTTTCAAGACATGCTTCGAATAATGAATAGAATATCAGCTCTGAGAGACAACTTAGTGATTACATAATCCAACCCGAGTTTCGGAGAGAACACAAAAGCCCAGAGCAGAAAAGGATGTGTTCACGATCACACGGGGAGGTGGAGGAAGAGTTGGGACTGCAGCCCAGGTCTCCTGGCTTCTCCAATGTGCCGGGTAAAATTTTTTCTTCTGAAGGCAAGATAGCTGTATAGAAGCAACCTAATCCTCCCTCTTTTCCAACAGAAAATATGTCATCCAGCTCCTTTCCAACTGTCTTTTTCTTGGATTAATTATAAAAGCTAGATGTTCCTAGCAAAGCTCATGTTTTCATATGCCCATGAACATTTGAATAAATATATAAAATAGTTTTAAACATATACAAAAAGTAATGAGTTAGGCTGAATTTGCTTCAAGAATATTAGAACTCTATTAGTGAGGTGCCCGCTAGGTACCAGTGCGGTCTCAAGCTTTTTATCTTCATTTCTCCCTGAAACCCTGTCAGGATGACATCATTCTTCCCATTTTATAGAGAGGAGACAAAGCACCAGAGAGCTTAAGTCATTTGCCCAAGATCACACACCTAATAATCTTGGAACAGGGCTTTGAAACCCAAACTGCCTTGTTCCAAATGCCAAATTCTTTTCATGAGACACCTGCCTTTCCTATATTCCCACTGTGATATCTTTACTAATTTTCATCATCTATGACTTCTCTCACTTGTGTTTTTTGTTTCAGCCAATGATGAAACTTCCTCTTTTCATGAAGAATATGCCGCCTCTCTCACGAAGTGACTAGTCAAGTTCCTAGAGGAGTTTCCCCATCGCCCAGACTCCCACCACCGCCCTGTCCTACCGAGCTGGATTCCTTGCTGGATTCTCTGGTTGATTCAGCTTAATCTGAAAAGATTCTTGAAGTGGAGAGGGTCCTACTGCCTTAATTTAAATAGTCTGTAGCTTGATCGCCCTCCCTTGTCCCTCTCCAAATAAATGCTTTGTGTGTGGCTTCCAGTCTGCCCACCTCGTTCAACCCACTGTCAGGGGAAGATGAATATCTCTTCACCTGCCTGGCCTTTGCTCCTGGAGCCATTCTGCAGGCGTCCTTGAGCATGACACCATCTGCCTCGTTATCCAAGGGTCAGCTGCTCTTGGGTTTATGGACATAAATGTACGGCTTAGGCAAGACTTGCGCTCATGGCATGTCAGATTGCCACAGTTTGGGGGCAAAAGCAACTCTCGTGCTAGAGAGTGGACTGGCATAGTGCTTTGCTGAATATATCATGATTGCAAGCAACCCAGAGCATTTAGATCCCTTTAGTGCACGCTGCACAGGCATATGTGTGCAGACACACACATCTCACTGAGATGGCAGGGCATCTCTCCATCAGTGTAAAGGGTACTTCAATTTAAGTCGGGAAGGGGGGGCATTAGTTAGGTTGTGGTTACCTACCCCACCGACAGCCTTAAAATTTGTTTCCAGAGTCCTTCCCCCAGCCCTCTCAGGGCCCAGCCCAGCCAAATATAGTTTGTGAATCTGCCACCTACCCAGGCAAGACTCCCCTGCCTCTGATTAAAACTGAAACCACCACCTGTGTCCTACCACAGGCTCTCAGTGTCTCCAAAACCACACACACAAAGCCCAGACTTAATTTCTTAATTCTTCCCCCGAGCTTCTGTTAGTCCACCTGCCACATAAAATTACAGACCAAAATATCTACTCTGAGTCTGTCCTTCTAAGTGGACAATCCAGACAGGGGGATGTGTCCAATATGAGCACAAAGACACCCACCGCCTACCCCTGGGGTTCCGAGTAGCCGAAACGGACGTAAACCAAAGAAACCTTCTTTAACCTTAAGAACAGCTTTAGAAGAGAAGCAAGGCAAGAAGTGGGGGGTCTCCTGGTTGACATTGCGCCAACTGGCTTTCCTTTTTGGCTTCTAGGATCAAAGGAATTGTATTCAGAAGTCATGTGGGCAGGACAGCTATTTACAGCTCGCACGACACCTTTACAGAATTCTGTTTGTTGTTTGAGGCATAGAAATTGTTAAGGCATCACCTAACTCTATTCCTTGACAAAGCACCAATCCCTGCACAGCTGCGCGCTCCCCCGGCACCCGCAGGGGAAGCAGTGTGTCCAAGGGGCTCCCTGGAAAAGAGCGTTCACCGGGGGAGCCATGCGGGCTGCTCAGGTCTGAATACACATTTTCCCAAAGAAAATAGATGAGTGGCCAGCTGAGGTCTGCTGGTTTTCTTTCTTA